CCCCGGCCGGGCGACGCACACACGATGAAGAGTGACGCCCGTAGTGCGAGGCCCTTTTCCCGCTGCAGGGAATGGCTATTTCCCAATTTACTCAGATGACTGTACACCTCACCGGGTCGGCGCTGGATGAAACGAGGGCCCGTTGCCGGAGAGCGGCCGCGCCCATGCAGGTGCCGGCCAAAAAGCCGCAAGATGGGGGGCGGGGGGCACCCATTTCCCTGGCGCTTGTGCTGCGGGGTGTGCGCAGGGCGGCGGGGGCCCCACACACTCCTCCTGCCGGGCTCTCTCGTTGTCCTCCCTGTTGGGGGCAACGGACGCGGAGACGCCCGGGCCGCGAGACGGGGGCGGAGGCCGGCGCTGGCGCCGCCCCCCAGGCCAGACAAATCCGGCCCCTAAATGCCCCTGAGGGGCGGGGCCCCAGGCGCGGACCGGATACCAGCACCGTTGATTGGGCGGCTGCGCAGTTGGCTTGGAGGCTATCCCGGGCTCGGGGCGCCCTCGGGTCGGGGGTCGGCCTCTCGGGGCGCCCCGCCCCCTTAGTGCGCTGTGCGCCGGCGGCGGAGGCGGGCCGCAGGGCCGCAGGGCCGCGGGAAGGTGTACCTGCCCCGTGAACGCCCCCCCCTGACGATCGATCCGGCACTCGTGCGCCGCCCAGCCGGCCGGTGCCCGGGCCTTCTTCGGGGTGTCCCTGTGCGCTCGCGCCCCGGCCCGCTCGCGCCCTGTCGTGTTGGAGTGCGCCCTGGGCCCACATGCGTGCGGCTTGCGTGCGTGTGTGTCTGTCTGTGCGACCGTGCTTCCCCGACTCGGCGAGCCTCACGTCTCAAGGGCAGAGCCCCTTAACAATGCCCCGGGAGAAGGGGCCATCTTTTCCCACAGTGCTCCGACCTCTGTGCGGTAGAACCTAAACTCCATTCAGGAAGAGGTGCTTTTAGCCGGGGGGGCGGGGGGGGGGGGGACACTGGGAGGGGCGAGCGAACGGCAGGCCGGTCGGCGCGCCGGGGGCATTCTTCGGATCAACGTACGCCGGGCCGACGCCCGGGCCCAACACGGGAACCGGGCACGACTCGGCTTTCGGATGGCGGAAGCAGCCGGTGCGAGGGCCCTGGGCAGGGTAAATATTTGGCCCAGACGGGTGGCCCCAGCGTCAATGTCCGGCCCTGGGTTGTGTCTTTCCCCGGCGGCGGGAGGAGCGGCAGTGGGGGGGGCTCCCGGCGGATGATCACTCACGCGCCGATTGTCGGGGGGGGGGGGGGGGGGGGGGGGGGCCCCAAGGGGGCGGGGGGGGGGCGCCGCGGCGGGGGGGGGGGGGGGGCTTGTCTCACATGGTGGGGATTGGAGAGGGGCATTGGTTTATTGGGGGGGGGGGGGGGATTTGGACTCCCGAGAGCACGGCAGTAAGCTCCCTGTCACGCTGGCGTGCGCGGGTTTTTGAGGGGCCTCCCCGAGAGCCGGCGGGCGGCCTGCCGGGGGGCTTCCCAGCGCGAGAGGGAAATGAGGCTGGGTGGCCTAGTCGCACAGGGAGGGGCGGGGGGGCGGGGCAGGCCACACACACACACACACACACACCCAGGACGCCCCGAGGGCAGGCCTTGCATTGTACCGGTCCTCGCTCCATTCAACCAGGCGCCCTGGATGCGTGCCGGGCACAAGCTGCGCGTGCAACCTTGAGCGTTGCGCGCGCGCCGAGGACCACGGGGTGACGCATTTCCGCATCAGTGCCTCAGGCCTCTGCGCTCGCAGCCCCCCCTAGGAGGGCGAGCGGGCAGCAGCATCCACACCGGAGCAGGCTTCAGGAGGCCTGGGGGAGGGGCAGGGAGCGCGGGGGGGGCCGAAGGGAGGGCAGGCCTGCTGGCGTGTAATCAGCGGCTCACATTCCAGGTGCCGGCTTTGGTTCGCATTTTCGGTTGCCGGCGAAATACTCCGGGCCATAAATAATCCTCTTTTTCGCCACCAGCGTACGCGTGCGCACTCTCGCACACACGCACACTCGCCCGGCCCGGCACCCCTGGGGAACGAGGGCAGAGGGCCGCCAGCCCTCCGTGGCCGGGACTGGGACTCGTGCTGCATTTCTCTGCGAGTCAACTGCGGGGACCTGCCGAGGGGGAGGGGGACCTGCACGAAGCGGGCGGATGTCTGTTATTTCAATTTCCGTTCCTGCCCCCCCCTCCCCCCGCCTCTCCTTTCGCACCCCGCGCACGCACACACCTTGGGCGGCGGAGCGCGGACTGGCGAAACAGGGGCCTGTGGGGGGGGGATGCGGGAGCCGGTCAAACGCCTCGGCGTGAGGCCCCGAGAGGCCCTGCCAATAGCCGACAAGGAGACGCTTCCAGCGCTTCTCGCCCGGCGAAAGGGGAAGTTGGGGGGTGCCTGCCTGCCGGCAACTTCCCCCCCCCCCCCCCCCGCGCCCTGCGCCCTGTGCCGGGCCCCCAGGTGGGCTCGCGGGGGAGGGGGCAACACTTCCAGCCCTCGTCGCCCCTCCCTGGCTGGCGCGTTGGGCCACTCGTGTGGATGTTACGGCCGCCCCAAACAGTGTCCTCCAGCGGCGGCCGCATCATTGCCACAACAAGGCCTTTGGCCGTCCCCCCTGTTTTCCTCGGCCCTCGCCAGGCGGCGGGCACCGGGGCGGGGGGCGGCGACGGAGAGAGACCCGGCACCTACTCCCCCCCGCGACGCATCGGCGTGCGTCTCCCGCGGGACGGGGCCATTGAAGAGACCCCTCGGCGCGGGCCGGTGCCCGCCCTGGCGCGGCCCCCGACACCTAGTGACTGCGTTCGACTGTGCCGATTACCGGTCTGCCCAATCGACCTTTCGCCTTTTCCCCTGTTCCCCTTCCCCCCCTCCCCTTGGTATTTCCCTTTTGCCCCTCCCCCCCCCCCGCCCCCCTTCCCTTGCCGTGTCCTTTCCTTTCCTTCGCCATGCCCCCTCCCCCGCCTGCCCTCGAGCCATGCCCGGTGGCGACCCCCTCTTGTCTCTCTCTCTCTCTCTCTTTCCCTTCTCCCCTCCCCTGCATGCGCCCCCGCATGGCTTTCTAACGCCCTCTCGCCCTCCGCCACCCCCCTCCCCGGCTG